AGGAAAAATTGTCCAGTCTTCATGGCTGTTATAAGGCTACCGTCAGACCATTCGAAGAGGGCGTTCAAGCGAGCAATGTTCTTCTGAATCCTTTGAACTATTTCAGAATCGCATGCTTCCAATTGTTCAACGGTCATAGCACTAAAAGTGCTCCTCAGCTCGTCAAGAGATCTCGGCTCAGCATCGACTGTGTTGACGACAGTTCGAAGGTCGTTGAGTAGCTGAGTCTCGATCGCCGCTCTGTTCCTAACTGGTCTTTGAGCTCCTATTAGATCCCCAGTTTCCAAATTCACATGGGCATTGACGATGAACAATTGCTTCCTACAAATTTCTGCAACTGCCTGGCAAAGTTGTGTCTTGCCGCACCCAGTTTCTCCCACGAGAAGAACGGGTTCGTTGTTCTCAAGCGCTACTGAGACCAGGACGAAGAGACGACGCATGGCTTTTGTCCAAACAATGCCAGGCGCCAATTCCTTCAGGTTAGGAGCGCGCTTTTCCAATTCAGCAGCACTGTAGATTGTGTCTTCATCAATGGGAACTTTCATGACCTCCTCAATGACAGCCTTGACAGCTGCCCTTTCTTGTGGATTGCGGACGCGTTCTGCAAGCAGCATAAAGCCATTGACGGCTAGTTGTTCACGGTCGTCTGCCCGGCGCAGAGCCCATCGGAACAAATCACGTAGAGTGGCAAAGCTGTTTTTCTGTTCAAATAGCCTGTTCGCTTGGCGCAGAAGGGAAAGCTTTCGATAAACAGACACAATCCTGGTGCAGAAAGATGGCGCAATCTGCGACCGCTCTTTCAAGATGAACTCCAACTCGCTCTCTGGGATATCGTCGAAATGCAGCTCGAGGAAACGATTCCGAAACGCGCGAGACAGTACTTTCCGGCCACCATACAAGCCGGCCGGGTTCTGTGTCGCGAACAACATGAAATTCGGATGCGGGTGGACGACTTCCTGTGTCTCGGGTATGAATAGTTCGCGGTTGTCGTCTAGAAGTCTGTTCAATGCTTCCAAGACGTCCGACGGTGCAAGATTAAGTTCGTCAAGAACGATCCAATATCCGTTCCTCAGTGCTTCAACCAGCACACCTTCCTGGTAACGCAAGGTTCCATCATCACCAGAGACATAGGAACCAAGATACTCCTGCAAATCGGTGTGTTCATGATTGTTGATTCTAACAAACTTGTTGCCCGACACTTTAGCAAGATACTCTATCATACTCGTTTTACCCGCTGATGTGGGACCCTGCAACAGCACTGGGAATCGACGAGTGGAGCTCGCTCGAACGAGATTCTTGAGATTCTTCTCGATAAAAGGAGTGATGATATAATGGGGTTGGGCCTCTGGGATCATATTGCCCTGGCGCATCCAATAATGTTTGAACTGCACATAAGCATTCCCATCATTCGGTGGCCTGGGGGTTTGTCCTAGTAGTGCCCTTGCATTCTTCGCATTGCCAAAGACATACCGCTCAAGCAGAGGCAAGAGTAGCCGCTCGGATTCTTGGCTTAGAACGGTCAAGAAACTCATACAGTAGCCCTCAAAGATCGCCCGGCGCAAACCATATATGTGGGCATTTTCGAGAACATATATAAGAGCACGAACGAGAGTTCGGATACTGAAATGAGGCCGTTGTCCCGCTCCGTCAGTGAGTTTGTTCTCGTTGCTAAGTTTCTTGGTTTCCATGTAAAGCTGCGCTAGGTCCGACACGATCCTTGAGTCGCCTATTGTGAGGTCACCCAGGTATTTCTGAATCAAAGCACGCAGATCGTCCAGGTCGGTATCCGGAGACTGTACATATACTTCCGTGAAACGAGATCTGAGCCCAGGAGGAAGATCTTTCTTTCCAGCGTCAGTTGCGGGATTCATGGCACCGAATATGCGAAAGTCAGGATGACCAAAAACCCGTTCCACGTCACCGGCTTCGGATAGCAGAACAGATGGAGAGCCTTCGCTACCATGATGCAGAAGACTGGCAATATTCTCAAGAGTATCTGGGGAGGCTAGATTGACCTCATCAAGCAGGACCCATTCTCCATTGCGAAGTGCACGAACGATTTTTCCCTGGACGAAGGCGAACGCGAACTTGGCGTCACCTTGCGAAACTTGTGCCTCAAAGTCGTTCAGTTGCGCGGCAAATCTCTCCCATCTCAGTCGAAGCTGCTGGTACTTGGGCGAATCCAGTTTTCTCTTCTTCGTCGGCTGCTGCTCCTCCTCACCGGCCCGACTCTGCTTGCTTGGTTTAAAGACACCATCGGCAAGCCGAACGGCTTCATGCCAAAAATTGACCAGACGCACCCAGTTCCCCGCAGCAACGCTTTTCGAAACAGAAGACAAGAATTTCTGGTTCTTCTTTGCAGAGAACGTCAATTCGAAGAGTGTGTTAAATTCATCGAGCATAGGGACAGCCATGGTACGGATATTGACAGGCTTGAAACCACCCAACAGATCAGTACTTTCGCTCTGCTGAGACAAGTTCACTACCGTGAGCTTCTGCCGCATCAAATTTGCAAGCTGTTGGACGACTGTAGTTTTCCCAATACCGGTCTCTCCGACGAGAAGAACAGGCTCGGCCATTTGCACAGCGGCAGCAACCTGTTCCATCAGCTTCAAGGCCGCTCGAGTCGATGCAAAGTGCGAGGAAGCAGCTGCAAGCTTTGAAACTGATCCACTGGGTACTTTATTCTTTCGACAGATCTCCCTTCCAAGGGTCACGCTGTTCCCATGGTCTGAATAGGCTGGGGTCCGTTCATGAAGACAGAATTGCGCCCGTTGTGGCGATATCTGGAGTGCTTCCGCGACAACCAATGCGAGCGAGTCCGCCAAAGTTTTCTCGGGAATGTATCTAAGGAAGACATCCACAACGTCCAGAAATATCTCATCCTCGACAGCTTCGGGTGTCGCTTCATAGCCAGTCTTGGCTCCCAGTCGCTGCAGTCGCATATGCAATCTGGTGCAAAGCTTGATCAGATCGCGAAGACCCGGAGTCCTTCCTTGTGAGCTTTTGATGGCAAGGCTTCCGTGGAATGAAGAGCAAACCCTTTGGTAGATATCCATGATGACGGGAACGCGAGATTCAAGAAGAGGGAATTTGCGGATGATCACCTCTCGAATTTCTTCTATAGAAAGCGAGTCTATCTGTACTCTCTGCCACAATCTGCTTCCCAACAGATTGGTGTTTGGCGCAATCTCTTCGCCCGCAATATTATAGGTCGACTTCATGGTAGCAATGATCTTGAAACCCTCGGCGCACTTAATACGTTCCTTTCGACTAGCTATGGTCAACTCGCCCTTCTCGATGATCGGCAATATGAGACCGATGACTTCAGATGGAGCACGATCAAGATCCTCGATCAAAATCCAGCGACCTTCCCTTGCAGCCTTGGTCAAGACACCGGGCTGCCAAGCAAAGGAACCTGTAGCCGGGGATGTTGAGTACATTCCAAGAAGACTCTTCGCGTCTGTTTGTTCGTTCAGATGAAGGGTAACCATAGACTCTAGCTGTCCCATTGTCGCAGCGACGTCGTTGACCAAAGTTGTCTTGCCTGAGTTTGGTAGCCCAACAAGTAGGATGGGCTCAGACGCAAGCAATGCTTTCGCAATTTTCCGTAAATTGCCCACGGCGGTTGGGGTCCTCACAATGGAGGAGGAGGGTGAACTTGGTGATTCATGCAGTCGTGGGATCAACACGCCACAGACCTCAGCTGTTCGCGCAGTAAAGTATTCTCGCAACTGTTCGGTAAGTAGAAAATTGTCCGACGTTTGTCGAATCGATCTCACTTGCTCAATCTGCTGCTCGAGGGACTTCCACCGACGCTCTTCCCACAGACCAAGACAACGATAATCGATCACAATGTCTTCCCACGGTCCTTCAATAGGACCATCTGCGAGATAGGCCCCAACCATTCTCTCTGTAGCAGCATCGGCTGCACGCATGTATAAGGCAAAACACCGTACTGCTAGGTATCTGATAGCCTGGTCTCGGTGTTGGAATAGGGACTGGAGTTGCGAGGGCGATACAGTCGTCGAGAAGGCCTCAAGGTCATAGGACATAAGTCGGAATATGGCGAGGAGTAGCGTGCGGAGGGTAGCATCTTCCAGTTGAAAGGTACTTTGTTCTTTCGATACAGCCAAAGCCGAAAGAGGTCCAGCCCACGAGGCGGCATATTGACTGGCAAAAGATCGCAGATATGGCGCAAACGGTAAGATACGTGCAAAGGCGGAAATTATTTGAAAATTATCGACATGAAGGTCTGACGAAAGCCATCGCGCTGCCAGATCAACAAATATCGGTTCGTATATGCTGAAAACACTTTCTGTGCATTTTGACCTCAATGCGCTAACCGCAAGCGCATTCAGGTACTGAGTCCCAGAAGCAGTACGAATGAGTTCCGCAAGCTCATTCGGAAGCTGCTCAAGGATCTGGGACTCACTAAGAAGCCTCTCATAGGCAGGTTTTTCATTCATTATGAACCCTGCCGCCAGAGGAACTCCAGTGATATGGAACGAATGGACAAAAAATTTGTAGTACCCGACGATATTATTTTACGGAAGAAAATGGCCGTCTTTTTCACCGCCTGCCCTGTGGTAGAAACCGCTTGTCCATGAAAAGTAGGCGGTCTCAAATCAAGTACTTGGCGATTGTATTAATCCGGCGGCCTGAGGTCTCTAGGAGTCACACCATCCCTCATGGCCTTTTATTTCTACCCTAAACAATTAGAAAGCATGACGCAGAGTTGAATACTTGTGGTGGTCTTTTAAATGTGACTGCTTTCAGGTGGTCTGGTAGGTGGGTATGAAGCTTGTAATCAAAGGTCAAATTCTTTGTTTTCCTATGTCTCCGAAGCTGTGTTCACCGCCTTTGGCCTTGCGGAGTCTGCGCCACATCTCCGATATCGAGGACATGTTTGATCGCGACGCGAGATTCTGATTGCTCAATTCCTGATAGGGGCAGTGGTACAGCTGCGATGTTGACATGATATGCTTCCGTGATCCGTCATGTCAACAACGATTTCAGGGTCAGAAGCCGGAAGACCGTCTTCATCTGCGCAGGTTTACGACCGGTCGTCGAACCTAGATAACGATACCCACCAGAATCCTTCAAATGAATCGCTGGCTGGAGGCCTAACTGAACCGTGAGTCTTAGGCCTCTTCAACCCTGCGCATATTCTGACTGACCGGGTTTGTAGAATTTCTTTCAAACGCAAGCAAAAACAACCTGCGAAGTTCAGTTTTTCACGCCTGTTTTTCAGTGATGAACCCGAATCTACAATCCCTTTCCGGGCGACGAACACAACGAACGAGCAGACGCCGGAGGTTGATTCGTCCTTGACCCAGCTGAGAGCGCGAAATGGGAACGGAAATCTTAACGCACCAAAAGACGGAGGGTTCTTGGATTGGTATGTGGAAGGCCCAGGGCGTCGAGTAGGCTACGACGATTTTACAGCCATCGATTGGATCTTTGAATATACAAAAGAGCGACAAAGAAAGAGGCTGCTCTACTCTAGCGCGCCGGGTCTTTCAGGATATGCCCGCAGGCTGTTGGAGGCCAGTAACGTATGGGTGGTTTTGATAGCGACAGGCGTTCTCGTTGGAATTATTGCGGCATGCATCGACATCACAAGCGACTGGCTCGGAGATCTGAAAACGGGCTATTGCAAGAATGGATCAGGAGGCGGCAAGTTCTATCTGAATCGAAATTTTTGTTGCTGGGGTCATGACGGTAAGGTGTTCGTCCTCAGCAGTGCTCGTCTGCAACTGACGCGGCATTCCATCAGACATATCTGATTGCTTGGATTGGACACCCTGGCGTAGAGCTCTTGGAGTCCGTTCTTCCAGCGGAGGCTATACGGTAGAATATATATTCTACGTCCTCTACTCTGTAAGAAAGACTCTTTTTCTACTTGTTCTGAAACGCTTACTGACAAACGATAGGTGGTCTTCGCTGTCTGCGCGAGTTTTCTGGTCAGAACATACGCAATATATGCAAGACACAGTGGTATTCCAGAAATTAAGACAGTCCTTGGTGGCTTCGTCATTAGGCATTTTATGGGACCCTGGACGCTCGCGATCAAATCTCTAGGCTTAGTAGGTGTCCTGTGCATTCTCTATGTCCTGCTTCTTGGATGCTTATCGAGAAAAAGTGTCTGGCAGTTGCTTCGGGGATGTGGCTAGGTAAAGAAGGTCCTCTGGTGCATGTTGCATGCTGTTGCGCCAACGTCATGATGAAGTTCTTCGATAGTTTGAACCATAACGAGGGTATGTGGTCAAGCCGGCATTCAGCGGGTCATACTAAGTGATATAGCGAGAAAACGTGAAGTGCTCTCCGCAGCCGCAGCTGCAGGAATATCTGTCGCGTTCGGTGCACCCATTGGAGGTGTTTTATTCAGTCTCGAGGTATGCCTCTCGGATTTATATTCCCATATCGCCTCGTCTAACGAAGGATAGCAATTGTCGTACTACTTTCCAGATAAAACCATGTGGCAGAGTTTTGTCTGTGCAATGGTTGCTGCTGTCACTCTTCAAGCGCTTAACCCTTTTCGAACAGGAAACATTGTGCTCTACGAAGTTAAGTATACACGTGGATGGCATCGCTTCGAAATGATGCCTTTCATCCTCCTGGGTATCCTTGGTGGTCTGTACGGGGCATTTCTGATCCGCTTGAACATGAAAGTTGCGAAATGGCGACGATCCCGAACTTGGTCTCGCCCAATATTAGAAGTTACGGTCATTGCTCTTCTATCTGCTCTGATCAACTTTCCAAATATCTTCATGAGGGCGCAAAATTCCGAGCTTGTCCACTCGCTGTTTGCCGAATGTGGCACGGGATCCGATGATCTGTTCGGTCTTTGCAAGACTGGTGCTGCATCTGCTGGTACAATAACACTTTTGCTTATGGCCGCCCTTCTTGGCTTCTTTCTCGCCTCATTTACGTTTGGATTGGACATACCTGCCGGTATCATTCTTCCTTCCGTTGCCATTGGTGCCTTGTACGGCCGTGCATTTGGAACGATGTTTAAGATGTGGCAAAATGCCTATCCAAATTTTTTCTTCTTCAGCAGCTGCGAGCCAGATGTTCCCTGTGTGACACCGGGAATATATGCAATCGTCGGAGCAGCTTCAGCTTTAGGTGGCGCAACACGGATGACAGTGTCAATTGTTGTGATCATGTTCGAGCTCACAGGTGCCTTGACATATGTCATTCCTATCATGATTGCCGTTATGTTGTCCAAATGGTGCGGTGATATTTTCGGCAAACGTGGTATCTACGAGTCTTGGATCCATCTCAAGGAATATCCCTTCCTTGACCATCGTGACGACACTACTTCCCCCGATTTACCTGCTCATAGAGTCATGACAAGGGTCGAGGATCTCACAGTCATCGTTGCCAATGGACATACTATCGATAGCCTCCGCAACCTTCTCATGGCCACCTCATATCGCGGATTCCCTGTCGTGACCGATTCATCGAATCCTCTTCTGCTGGGCTATATCTCACGCAACGAACTATCGTATGCATTGAAGTATTCCTCATCTCGTGCAGATCGCGACTTGCCTGGCTCGACGCAGGTCTTCTTCGCCCATCAGCCGTTTGCAGACCCGACTGAAACCCTCGATCTTCGGCCCTGGATGGATCAAACGCCTATTACACTTAACAGTGGGACGACTTTCTTGATAGTACGACGCATGTTCCAGAGATTGGGTCTCCGCTACGTCCTCTTTGCAAACAAGGGTGTCCTCCAAGGCCTACTCACTAAGAAGGACGTTTGGTCTATCATTGATGGTGCAGAATCCAGCAGGGTTAAAGTCCTAGACACTGATTCATTCAGGCAAAGAAATACGGCCGAGGGCGTTGGTCTCCTTGAAAGTGATGACGGAACGAGTTTTGCCAGTTCCCTGGATAGACGTCCTTCACTTTAGATATTTGCGGAGTGGAGTGGACTTAGCGAAATATATACCCTTGTAGAGGAGGTTTTTTGGATATTTGCTTTGGTTTGGAATGTGACGCAACTGATGAGTGCTGTCGCTCAATCTCTTCAATATACCTTCAGTAGAACATCTTCATCTATGTGACCTTATGATACGTAGTCTTGTCTTGGGGGAGCCGCTGGTAATGCTGGTAATGCTGCTTTATATCGCAGATCCCATGACGATCACCCCACATTTTCTGCCGGCAGAACAAGACCACCGCCTGCAACCGAATATCTTGCTGGGATTCAGCTATGTCTTATCGCAGACTGATTACTTTTCGAGGCAATCGGACTAGTTGAACTTTCTAAAAACTCCAGAACCGCAACCATGATGGCCGATCCCTTCGAGGTTCGCATGCGCTTCACTGCGCAGCTACAGCATCTTAATGCCTCCGTGACCTCGTCACAGAAGGCAGCGCATTATGCGTTGAAATACCGCGACATGGATGAGGATCTCCATTCCTGTATCCTGGAACAACTTGAAAGGGTAAGTATGTCTCTGCTGCCGTGCAGGAGACTACTCTAACTTCTGACACGAACCTTTCTAGAACAACATGAATAATCGAGCCAACATCATGTACTTCATCGAGCAATTCTGCGAAATGGCCACTAAGGAAAACCATACACCCTATGTCCGGATGATGCAAAGGGATATTCTACGCGTCGTTGATGCCGTTGTACCACCTGATGGATCAGGAGCTGCAAACATCAAGCACGTCCGGCGTGTTCTCAACGGTCTCCAGAGTAAAGATATTCTCTCAGCCGAAACGGTAGCTGAGATTGATGCCGGGCTCAAGGAGCGGGAGGCCCAGGTGGCACATCTCGACTTGGATGCTGAGGAGGAGGTCGACAATGGTTCCAAAGCGAAAGGTGGAACGCCACGAGGCTCCAGGCCGAGTGGGATGCGCGTGGACAAGAGGCAGATCGAGCAACGGATTGAAGAAGACCGTGAACGGAATAAAAGGCTGCGCGAGAGTATGTGGACGGTCAGTGGGGATGATGGTGACGAACATGGCAAGTTCTGGGATGAAGTCAGTGATATAGGTGAGGATGACTTCCTGGGGGCGCAGGAGGAACTCATGGAGCGCAATCAAATGGTTGCTGCTCAATGATAAGAGAGTCTTAGATTTGGGGCTGGCTATTATCGCTGCCTTCTTGTTGCATCTAATGGGTTGGAAAAGGTGTTAGGGAATTTGCAGCTATATATCCCGGGCTTGATGCTTATATTTACAGGCGGAGTTGGTTGTACGATAAAAGATACCTGTTCAAGTGAATTTCGAGGCTTCCTAAATTTTAGGGAGTTAAAGCAAACTGCATTACTACCTAATATTGGAGCCGGGCTTCCCAATTCTTGTTCAGATCTGTTGCACTGCTCTATGTCACGTCCTCTGGTAATGTCAGTGAGTGGAAACCCACAGGATGGGATTCTTGGCACTACAGTCCCGCCTTCGGATCAAAATTGCACCGACAGATTTTATCAGTTGAATTTCTTCAAGAAGCTTATCTGCTCGTCGCCGAGCGCAAAATTAACGTCTCACAATTTTCAATTGTTTAGAATTCATAGTGGGATCGGTGGATTCTCTATGTTTTCTCACATTGTCACAGCAGCAAAAGGTCTATTTGCACGGCAAGAAGTCGACGAAACCAAACTCGACAACAGCAATACAACCTCGACAACGTCAACAAGTCCAATTGGCCGCAAAGCAAAAATGGTGACGGCAACGAGAAGGAGGAATCTCGAGACATTGTCGACAGCTTCTGGGGATAGCAAGGGCGTCTCGACCTCCGCAAATGGGAAGCGCAAGCCCGAATCTACAAGCGCTGGAAAACCCGAGTCACAGCACAACAAACGGAGAAAGAGAAGCAGTCTAGAGGCTGCTGAAGAGCCGGAGAGGGAATTGTCGACTGAGAGCGCCATGGTTGAGTCAGATTCGAAACGATCAGAGGCACAGGCGCCTGCTTCTAAGACGAAACACTTCAGATTCGACAGCGAAGAGCCTGAACTGCCGGTGGAGATGGAGACCGAGGCGCCAGAGCCTCAGCAGAAGGAGCAGGACAATGAAGACAGCAGTGATGATGACGAAGCTCCTGAAGCGATTGACAATTCGGCTCAGATGTCCAAGATCAGACTGGAAGCTAAAAAGCAAGAACGAGCAAGACAAATGTTAGTATCTCCACTACCTCTAAAAAAATCCTTTTATCTCTAACTCGAATCTACAGTGAGGAACAGCTGAGAAAGGAGAAGAGAAAACAACTGGATGAACTCCGCAAACAGCAAGCGAAACAAAAGGAGGTGACCAAATTAGCAGCCGGTTCTGCTGATGACCAGCTTTCAGAAAGCACGGAGACACTGCGAGGTAGTACCACACAAGATGCCCGCCGATCAGCCCTCCCAGCTCTCCTGCCGGATGAGATTCTCAATGCAGCTCCTGTCGCCAGACCTCCAACGCCTCCCTTAGAGGAGCTTAATGTTTCGCATAAGAAGCCAAACAAGTTGAAATTTCTCGATGCTACAGAGAAACGCCCCAAGGATGTCAAGCTGGGCGATGTTACCATCCGTGTGTTAGATGAGAACCCGACCAAGAAGGCCAAGACAACCCTGCCGCCCAAAGCCTCAAAGACTGGACGCAATGCCAAGCAGAATTGGCTCAACAGAGCTCGCAGTACCGCCACTGTCAATGGTCTTAGAAGAACCGCAGGTGGCCCTTCAGGGTTTGTTCGCAGATAAGAAGTCTAGTCTATCGGTTTCTGCGTATTTTTGAACCCGGCGACAAGGTGTTTATGGAGTCTTGATGCAGGTTGAGATCGGCTTGGAATAATGACTGGCATTTGCTCGTCATTATACATCATACATCAGCTACGGGCTATTGAGTGGCTTGCGCCGTTCTCGACAGGCGACAGAGCTGAAGCTGACTCCGCTTGAAGTCCGCGGTATTTACCACTCTTAATAAGGTCTATAACGCTTAAGCATCACCGGACCAGGGGGATGAAACGCCTCTGAAAGCTCTAGCTGTACAATTGCTTGATGGTTGCCGTAAACACCCAGTTCAAGGTCACAGCTCCAGCATTGTACAACATGGAAATGGACTCTCATCTGTCCGGCCGATGCTGGAAAATAGCTCTATGGTTGAATCATTGGATACCCGAATAAAATTGTGTATAATGAAGCAGTAAATGCCTTATATGGACCACTATAGCAGTAATGAATGTAAGCAGTACCTTCATGGGCGAAAACTGGCTGATGGCAGCGTCTGGCGGGAGCACGTGCAAAGCTTCGTGCTTTCTGCGATCCGTCCGCTTTGGGCTTTGGCTTTTGATCTCTGCGGCTAGCCCACAGAGACCTTTTCTCCTCTTTTATTTCTTCTTTTCAGACATTGATCTGTCTTTCCATGACAGACGTCTCTTGATTGTTTTATTTAACAAAAAAACAGGATGACTTCGGCAGCAGAGACAACCCCGCTACTCCCCCAATACCAACAGCAGCCAGCATCCCCCAATACGTCACAGCAACGAGGAAGCCGTCCGCCGCGGACAGTGACATTCAACCCACTGGCCACAGTCAGTACATACCATGATGCTACTGCCGCTGCAGATCCCACTTATAAGCCATTGAGCTCCGGTGCATCGTCTGTTCCCAACGCTCCGTCCAATCAATCTAGACCGACCGGCCTTTCTGCCCTGAACAGCAAGCTCCGTCGCCGCAATAGCCATGGAGCTCCCTACAGCACGGCAGTGCCTTCGATGCCACCAGCACCCAAGGTCGGACCCCAGCGAACGACGAAGAATGCACAGAAATTAAAACTGCTTCCGGATCCTGTGACAGCTGCCGAGGAGGACATTGCGGACGACGAGTTCCCGCGTGATGTGTATTCGCAGATCACTCGGATTAAAGAACCGACTGCAAGAAGTCACGCTGCCAGATTGGGGAAAGCAGACAGGGAGCGACTTCCACGAGTAACGGCATATTGTACGGCCAATTCGTACAGACTCGAAGGCGTCATCAAGTTTCTCAAAGCACGGTCAAAGACCCGCGGAGCCAACCCGAAGCTATATGACGAATGCGTTTACTCTCCCTATGATTACTTATATGAGGATAAACAAAGAGCGCCTAGGAATTTGTCGGACAATGCGCTGGGGCTTCACCCTATCTCGTCAAGTCCCGATCGGCCGTCTGGCGAGCGCAGGTATTCGGACAGTGCGGTCGAGGTTGAAGATAATGCGAAATCACGCAGAGAAGACCTCATTGACCTGCGAGAATCGCATGACCAATCGCACCATGACGCTCATACCGAGAGCTCCGTAGCAGTACAGCGGACAGACGAGACGCCAGACTTTGATACTACTATCCACACGCCGGAGGTCTTTCTTTTCGATTACGGGACAGTTGTCATATGGGGCATGTCACCTGCGCAAGAATCACGATTCCTATCTGATGTTTCGAAATTTGCAAACTCCATTCTGAGCCCCGAAGACACGCAGGTTGAGAATTTCAACTTCTACTATGCTCGCGAGTACCAGGCACGGATATACAACGACTTTATCTCGCTCCGTGATCCTCGAAACCATATGATTAAACTTGCCATCTCACATGCATTGTCTCAATCAGTCAAAACGTCTCTCTTCGAGGATCTCGTCTCGGAGACCATCTCGAATACCGCACCACTCCCGGCTCAAATTGCCCAAACCGGCAGTGTCAACATGACGCGAAGACAAATCAACATGCAGATTGGAGAACTGTTCATCTTACGAATAAACATTCATTTACAAGGCTCTGTCCTCGACAGTCCGGAACTGATGTGGGCAGAGCCGCAGCTGGAGCCGGTCTACCAGGCTGTCCGAAGCTATCTGGAGATGGACCAACGAGTCAGTCTTCTCACAGAGCGACTGGACGTCATTGCGGATCTTCTGGCAGTGCTGAAGGATCAGTTGACTCACCGCCACGGTGAGTATCTTGAATGGATCGGTAAGTCCCTTACTTCCAGCCGTCGTGTCAACTCCTGTTTGGCTCACCAATTACAGTCATCATCTTGATCGCGGCGGAAATCCTTGTTGCGGCCATTAACATCGTGGTCGACTTGTACGCAGGAGTTGATTAGACGCTCATCTTGTGTTCCTCCAAAGTATTCCCAATCGACCTTTCACTGATCTATACATTGTGCGCGACTCATTTTCATTTTGCACTCAATCTACACAAGCTCACTGCATCAGTTGCGGCCCATATTTAGCAACGGAAGTCTTTGCGTCGGGAGTTGAGGACTGGGACTGGAGTTGGTCATCTTCGGTTGGGACCCTTGCATCTTTCTTGCCTATATCGAGGCAACCATCTTTGTATGTACCATTAGACAGGCTGTTAATATTGAACATGTCCCCTGGGACGTCCATGATGAAGCATCGTTTTCATGAGTTTTATTTGTTACCCAATATGCACGAGGCGTGGGAGTAGTTCGAGAGCGGGGGCGCACTGTGTGGCCAGACTATCTTCCATATGCGTGTCTAGCTGCGAACTCCAGGCACCTCCTTGTCTGATTTTCAAGTAAATAGGAAAAAGGCATCCAGGCACTGATCATAAGCGCTACAACGAGCGTCAACATCCCGTTGTGAGGAAACAATGTAGAATAGGCCCTCCTTCGATATGGGAACAGCTGCATGCGAAATGAAACAGAAGAAAAAGGGAGATTAATCTAGAAGAGGCGAAGAACGAAAAAAGAAAGAAAAGGAAACGAAAAAGCCACTCATCATCCCTGGCTCTCCTCTTTCGGCGCCTTGTCCACATCCATCGGTGTCGTCGAGAGCTCCTTTGCCCTATCTGCAGCTCCAGACTCCGGAGCTTGACTGCCACGCTCACTAGTAGCATGACTGTTCTCTCCTTCGTGTATAGCGCCATTGCTGCCTGTGCGAATGCGAAACGTGGAGGTCATCTCCTCCTGTGTCGGGGCCGGCGCAAGTCGCGGCAAGCCCGCTGAGCCAGCAGTCGAACCTTCAGGCGGGGCGCTGGTCGAGGGTTCATCATCCAGTCCTACATCGCCGACATCGCCAATATTCGACTTTCGAGACCGTTTCACCCGCAACGGGCGTTCCTGAGGCTGTTCATCTCATCTCGTCAGAACCCTCACACCGGGAAAGCTCAACAGCAGCCAAAGACCCAAAACTCACCGTAGGAGGCTGCTCGTCCGAGCTCCCCTCCGTCTCATCCTCCACATACGCAGCCCCATTACTACCACTACCAGCCGCCACGCCCGCGCCCACCGCCCCGGGAAACCCATTCAGAACGCCGGCGTTGCTCATCATGGCGGCCGCGCGGGCGCGCAGCTCGGGGTTCACGCCCGCCTGAGCCTCCTCGGCCATGCCGGTGACTTTGGCCAGGCGCTCGAGCAGGATACAGGACTCCAGCCGCATTTTCTGGATGTATTGCCATCCGCGCTTGTTGCGCATGCGCATCATCTCGTTCTCGGCCTCGATCTCGTTTAAGCGTTTTTTTAGGGCGATGCATTTGCGTTTGTAGGCGCCTTCAACGCTGGGGGGGTTCGAGGAGGGTAGTGATGAGGAGGGCTTGGTGGATGTGTCCATTGTGGTGTTTTATTTCGTAGTCTTCCTGGCAGTCGGTTGTATCCGCGTGAGGTTGAGAGGGAAAATTAGAGGTTTGCCGAGGGTTGAGAACGGAGGATGAAGGTTGTGGAGGTTGATGAGAGTTTATAACGAGGCGTTGGATGAACACTCCAAATGGCTATTGTCAATGGTCGATTCGCTATTGTTGACGTTGGAAGGGTCGAAGCTGCAGGAAGAAAGAGAAGCCGATCTTATTGTCTTGAGATGCGAAAGTGATGATTCGATCCCTTCCACGATGATTGGACGGATATCAGCATCAGCAACGGGCACGAGGGCTGTCACTCAGTCAATGCTTTCTGTGCAAAGGAAAAAGACTATATTATATAGAATTAATGTGAGAAATGAAATTGAAGACTTTTGTGCCAATACCAGACATCGCCATCAAGGACGCTGCTCCGACAATGGAGGATTCGCGGCTATTATTCTGCCGGGTGGTTATCAAGGGCGGTCAGTCTACTGCGTAAAGCAACAGAATAATGATTCCGAGTCCTGCATCTAGACTGTATCAAACTACATATGCGATAACGCCAAACAGCCTGTCATAAAAGCTCCAACACCTTAATGACCACCAGTGGTCGGGAGTCCCAGGAACACCTTGAAAGAATCATAACTGTTTCCGATGTCAGCGAACGGGCACCAACAGGACAATCAGGACAATAGACTACAGCACGACTTACATTAGCCATTGGAAGCCGGTCAGTGTACCAAGCATCACGATCCGAACTGGCAGGCCGTTCCAGAGACCCGAGAATCCGATCTTGCCGTAAATCCGCGACACGGCCGCCATTGCCGACTCGCCAGCTGCAAGCCTGTTAGCAGAACGACAGAAGGTTTTCGAGAACGCACACTTACCATTCCGATCGGCATTTAACTTGCTAACCATGACATCGGCAGGATGACTGACGATAGCGCAAAAGACACCGGCAATATAGCCTCCCAGGAAACTGACGCCCGTCTGCTGCAGCGCGTTGAAGCTCTCCTTGGGCCTCCCCAGCGTCCGGTAGATCATGTTCACGCTCTCCTCAAAGGTAGCAAACTTGGTCATGGTGTAGGGGATCTGCCGCGCCCAGAGCGGGTACAGCCCCTTGTACAGACCCCCGAACCCTTCCTTGGCCACGACTTTACTCCATCCCTCGCGCAGGTTATGCGCATACGGCGGCAGAGTTGTCTGCATGCGCACCTTGATCGCTTCGAACGGGCAGAGGGCCATGTCGGCGAAGAACTCGGCTGATGCGCTCGCGCCTAGGAATACCACCGTGCGGTTCATGTTGGGGAACATGCGGTCCCCGTACAGGTATTTGAAGTACTCGTAGAGACCGTATTTGCCTGCTCCCTGGAACGAGTATCCGATGAAGGTAGGTGACCAACCAAAGAACACGCCGCGTAGGCCTTCCTTGGAGAAGATCTGGCGCCATGCGGAGAGATTGGACGTGTAGATGCTGGGATCTACCTGGCGACGACATTTGACCAGGTCGAGGGGTGTAACTGCTGTATGCGTAGGTCCTGATCGAATATATTATCAGCGGGGAGAATTCCAGCAAGAATTCGAATCCACTACCACTTACCACATGCTTCAAATGAGAAAACCACTGCGTCAGCATAACTCCCAGCACATTGTAGCTTGGATGCAATATCTTACCGACAATTCCACCCAGAGTACAACTCAGAAAGTATTTCGATGAATTGGGCTCGATCTTCCCGAATGGAAGCTGCCGCTCTTTCGAGGTCATTATGTTGCGTCGAGTTCTCTACGATGTATATAATCGAAGATGCAGAGGATCAGACAATTCAATGCGCTTTTGAATAAAGAGAACAAAAAGGAGATACACAAAAAGCAGAGTCAATAAAATTAGTCTACCTGACAAAAGAGAGCAACACCCGCCAGAAGCACACACATATCTATACCCCAAGGACCGATGTCGTCAGAGGACGGAGACCCAGTTCCTAGCCAGACCCGAGGTCTCCAACCCACTTGCATTTCTCAATCAGGACTGGAGTCAGCCAGTGGGAGCTATGAGATGTTACTGTCAGCCCTAAGTTCTCCGCTTTTTCAATAATAATGTGATGATAAGGATAATGCGAACGGCTAACCGGCATGGCATGTTGCTTGTCCATGACATGGTGATGCGGCATAGCATTCGCGCATCTGCTTATCCAGACCTACTGGGGTATCTTTCTTTGTGTCCGAGTGCTGATGCATGTATCTATTAATATTTGCTAGCTACCAGTAATTCTCAAGGAATGTCGTAAATGTTCCAGAAGGAACATCTATATCAATGACGTCATTATGTCACTCACTGCTACGCTGTACCTCTCTATTAAGGTACCAGAAGGTACCCGTGGTAAGAGATGGATATGATCCTTGAAAGTTATTTATGTATAGTAGAAATATATGACAAGAGTAGCTTATAGACAACTGATAAAAAGACTATGTACTGCGTCAAACACATCAACAACTCTTACAGTGGAGCAGTGGTACAGTAGTACGGCAATGGCTATACCACAGTTGCTTCACGGACGATAGTGTCGCCTTGGGCGGTAGGGGCTATGTAATTGACCTCCCCCTCCCCAGCTAGTATCAACGCCAGTTTGATACCCAGGGTAGATCCTACCCGGGCCAGAATGGTTCGGACCTGGTGGCTCTGTTCTGGAGTTGCCAGGCCGCACGATGAGATATACCACAACGGCCAGACCATACTGTACCCCTGGAAAGCACGAATGTGCAGCTTCCCCTCCGAAGAGGTCGGGATCGGATTGCCCATCGCATCAACATGTCCAAAAGCAAAGGGGATGCTCCGGCACACATCCGTGATCATTTCCTGGATCGACTCCAGAATCATCGGCTCCTCCTGAAGAAGCTCACTGTACACTCTGAATTCGCCAACAGCCGATGCAAGAAGGTCGCGGAGCCGAAGTATGACTTTGAGTAGGATGATGCGAACCGCACGGTAGTAGTTCCATATCGCTGCGATCGTTATCTGCTGATAGGTCATTAAAGACTCGTGTGTCCGCGAGTAGACGATGAGCGGGAGCCAGTTATCGGGCAGACCCTGACTCCACGCTGCGAACTCCAAATCCACCGATTTGGCGTCTTCCATGCACGAGACCAGCCTGCCCACATCCTCCGCTCCGGCCGAGGCCTGCAAGGACGAACTCTCAAGGAATATCTGGCTAACTTTCGATGCGAGGAGCATCAGCCGGTGCACGGGATCCGCACTGTCCAGCAGTCCAGCTATCCAATCAGTCTTGAATCGAGGCTTGTCGCCCAGGGCCAAGAACTCGGTATGCTGATGCTTGTCAGTCTCTACCCGCAGATACCCAAACGGAGACAAAAACATACCGTATGCGTATAGGCAAAGTTGAACAGATCTCGACCCTGCGCGTGGCCGAACTGACTCATACCCCTCAGTTTCATCAGGATCTCCAACCCCACCGTATGCGAACTCGCAAGTCCATTGCGCTCCCCAGTAATATCCTCAAATATGGAAAGCAGAACCACCGACGCCAGCGTCTCGTCCCGGACAGCTTGTGTCCGAGATTCCAGCGCCTGCCGTAGGCGCTGCAGAGCCATACCGTACAGATACCGCGCCTTGACAATCAACGAGGGTTCCCGGATCTCATTGCTAAGAGTGACAAGAGCCGTCGCGTCCACCGCCAGTCGCAGCGACGATGACGATGCGGAGCACTCCTTCTCGCTGGCATCCCTGCACAGAGCGTACAGCGACGGCAGGAACCCCAGGTGGCTGATACACTCGCCCGTCTCATTCGAGCAAGTGTACTGGTCGAAGAAGAAGCAAATCGCCCGCTCTTCCCACGTCGAGTCGGCGATCTGACGAGTCAATAGAGGAGAACACTTCTGTCCCGAGTCGTCAACCGTACGCGGCGTTGTAGCCTGGATCTTTCCCGCGCCGCTAGAAGTCGACTTGTCAGACCGGTGTTTCTTCACCATGCGCTGCACCTTCTGCGTCTCGTCCCTGAAAATGGTATCGGGCCGATAACCCGGACATGGCCGGCCATAGACGACGCAATTCCGGCACTCTGGCAGCGCCTCATCGCACTTGAATATATTAGCTCACGACAGCTTAAAGATAGGACAGGAAGCAAGATGATTTTGACTCACCCGCACTTTTCGTTTAAGGCAAAGATAGCAACCTGTGCTCGGTCTTCCTCCATATACCATATTTACATCACTCGCAGAGTTACAGAACGGCAGAGAGCCTGAAGAGATCGGAGATGATGTGTTGTGACTTTAGTTATGGTTGTGGCTTCAAATCCAAGATGCAGATGTACTGAATCCGTCTGCCTGCCGCCTGGACATGGTTGATGGTGTGACCCAGTAAGATGACGGCCGGCTGTAGGTTCCTTGTATCTGCGCTTCTTTCTGAACCTACGACAAGAGATGAATACAACAAGATATCAAGACAGAATCTTGGTAGGGACACCCCTGCTTTGTTTCATGGATAATCGTGGAAGATTGGACAGAGGCTCCTGCCGGCTGACAGGGACATGGATGGAGTCGTGTATTAGTCATTGCCTCGGATAACTGCCCATCCCAGTTACGCATAAAGGCACATGAATCCATGGTCAACAGCATTTAAGGGTTTCAACAGTGTCTCAGCTCGTAGCCAATTTCCCGCTATTTACGAAAAAGATAGCCAGCTGTGCGGCGGATCAAATGAGAGGAACAGAGCTTGGTTCTATAATGCCTATTGATATGCAAGTATATATGCCGGAAGCAGTAACAACATGACAACGAAGACCGCGACTATGAGACCACTTCTCGTCACAAGATGGAAACCAAATTCCTAGATGCAAATACATCGCCTCCCGAGGTGGGTATCATCGAACCGGCGAGGAAAAATTAAACCACGTCGAAGGTACTGTATCAAAACCCGCTGACTCCCATTCGAAACCCGCTGACTCCCAGTTGGTATGGATGACAAGAATGGAAACGAAAAGACAATCCAACACCCAATATCTATGCAAAAGGTTTGATGACAAAAAGTTAGCTGATCTCGAGATTGTGGCCCACCACCCTGCTCGCAAGCCTGACAGACGATCATCGACGACCGGTGAGATTAGACTTAAATTGCACATTGTCCAATGCTCTTCTCAATGGATCAAATAGTGCACGGAATAGAGGTGAATAGAGGCGCGATGAACTTATTCAGTCTCGAATAGTACGACAGGAGAATAATCACGAAGCAGGGGCATCCGGCATGAGGTGGTCGTCATCATTATTGTTCAAGGGCATGGTCGGAGGTGGATCTGAAAAGAGCGTTCGGTGTCTAGCTGGACGAGACGAACAATTCAAGGAGAGGTCATCTTGGCTGCTTTGTTGGCGTGGGCGTAATCCGGGAGTGCTGGCGGTACTCTCCACAACAGCACCACCATCATCATCTTCTGGAGGGGAGAATGTCCACACCTATGGAATTATATCAAGTTAGACATGTATACTGAGGTTTTAGTTGGGCCACTCACCTCCATAACAGTCCGACCCGACCGGTTAGCCAGGATCACCGCCTTTTCGTCTTCAAATGCAACTCTCCAAACTGACTCTGCAGGCGTGGACAACTCTCTGAGGAGTTGGCCTGTTTGTAAGCTCCACACCTTGACGCGACCATCGCTACCACCGCTGACAATACGCGAACTATCGAACTGAAGACTGGTCACGCTATTGTCATGAGCCGCCAGACGATGGATAGGTGCCATCTTCGTCAATGACCAAACGCGCACCGATCCATCAGATCCGCCAGTAACCAGAGTGTCGCCTCGCATCTGCAATTGCCCGACAAGGGATGTATGTCCCTGAAGAATAGCATGACACTGACCAGAGTGCGGATCCCAGATTCGGACACTGGTGTCCAGACTGCCGGTAGCGATTCGCCTGCCGTCAAAGGCAATCGCGTAGATTTGACTGAAATGGCCCGACAGTGTTCGTTGACACCGTCCTTCTGATATGCTCCAAATTCGGGCGGTAGTATCGTAGCTTCCAGAAACAATGATATCCCCGTGGATGGCCAGACACCGAACGCTTGCCTGGTGCCCGACCAGGACATTTCGACAGGTGCCTGTTGTCAAATCCCATATGCGCAGCGTGGTATCTCTTGATCCAGAGATGGCCGTATTCTTATCGGACATCTTCAAGCAACGCACAGTCGATGTGTGGCCCCGTAAAAGGTAAATGCCAGCTCTGGTGGCACTGTTAGCCATTTTCCTCCCAGAAAAGCCGAGCTGAGACGTCCACAGCGTCATCAGGTACCACTTACCCGGTAGCCATGTTCCAGACTCTGACCTCCCGGTCGCAACCGCCACTCACCAGAATGTCGTCCCACGGTACCATGGCCCAAACACCCATGACATGACCTTGTAATGTTTTCTGATTGTTCCCGTCGGTATCGTATACATGAATTTTGGCGTTGTCCAGCGCAAGTACGATATATTTTGAGGTAAGATGCAAGCTCGTGACGACACCTTGATCTGGCGTGATGTGCCGTTGGGTGCAACGGCCTCCTTTGTTCCAAGCCGACTCCACCATGTATTTTTGCTTGAAATGAGATCTATATGACAAGGGTCGAGTCCGTCGCTTCCGTGAGGCTAAAGAGAGCCAGTCCGCAGAGCCAGAGCGAGGTAGATCGAAAGGATTATCTGAAGGATGTAAACCCGAGACTTTCCTCTGCAGCCCGTTCAGGGAGCGTGTGCTCGAAACCGAAGGCAGGTGGAAGGGGTCAATGAAATCTCCCGACGGTCTCCGGTAAGCATAAGCGTGCTTCTCGCAGAGGTTTTTCCAGGTAATATCGTCGCTCAGGAGGTCACGCCAACGTCTTGAAACCTGAGAGGCTCTCGCCAAGGTTTTCGGGTCGTCGATGAATGAGAGAACCTAGTGTAATGAAGGGCGCTTAGGTCAGTTCTGTCCGGCAAAGTCAAGCGATCGTCAACGGAAAGCTTACCCTCAAGCAAAGTTCAGTTGGGAAGACTTGAAAAGGATCTTTCCTTAACCGTGGAGTGACATAACTTGACACAAAGCTGAGAAGCTGACTGTCGCACAGACCGAGTACACCCTCCAAAAACCTCTGCTTCTTCGCGCTGGACAAAGAAGTAAAATGTATCCTGGCATTCAGGAGAAAGGCATCATCGTCCTCGTCTGAAGACTGCCACGTTGGAGGTCTCTGGTGAGGGGTCGGGCTAGGGGCCGGAGTCGGAGGTGACGCAGGTGCGGAGGGTAATAGACTCGGAGGAATAGCAGTAGCGGTCTTGTTGGAGGACAGAGATCTCGAGTGGGAGCCTGAATTCCGTGCGGCAGATGATCTGGAATGTGCAGTCTCCAACTGCTCAGAAACAATACGCGGAGTCATCCCGTTGTCCACCCGTTCGATGAATGACGCCCGACGAGTGTGTTCGCGAACTGCCGTGGATGGTATGACGGTTACAACATGCACTTGTGTCGACGGCAAACGACGATTATCGATATGGACTTGCAAAAGCCTTTTGAGGATCGACTTCGATCATAGAGAACGTATCGCTTCTCTTGAGAGGGAGCAAAACAAATATTGTAAGACAGAAAGGTGGTGAGGAGGTCAAACGAGGACTGATATTGAGTGAGGAAAGAGAAAGTGAGATGATGACAAACGGATAGACTCCGATGCGAGAGCGCTAGAGGAAGCGCTCTGACGAAAGAAGGAAATAGGGGGGATAGGGAAAAAAACTGAAAAGAAATGGGAGTATTTTATTTTATTTTTCTTTTGAGAAAGTGAAGTTGGGAAAAATTACTCGAGGAGGAAAACGGGAGAAGGTCAGCTACAGCCAGCAACAGCGGCTACTTTGACGCCATTCAGATGCCTGAAAAAGAAGGCCGAATGTATACCAAAACGGCAAGCAAGCGGTCCTAAGACTGGCGGGAGGAGAGACAGTGAGGTAGCGTCTGGAGTCTGGAGTCTGGAGTCTGGATCATGTGGTGGACGTCTTGCCGGGTCAGGTGCGGGCCTTATGAATAGCATAATCCGGAGTCAATTACCCTAGAGGCTTAGGTACGCGGTATCTGGGCCACTCCCGTCTAGACGTGGGAGAAATAGGTACTTTGTAGATAGTTCTCCGCAGATCTTGATATGGCACAGGAAAAGCTAGGTCTCTCAGCGTCGGAAAGAAAAACACGTCAAGTCTGCAGTATGAGACAGTAGTAGGCGAATAAAATCAACCAATTTTCATCTGCTTTCAAACGATATGATGTTGAACAGAGGTATATGATTTCTGATGATCATCTTGTCTCCACAGTTGACGATAAGAGGATACCAGGTTCCACAAGGCGAAAAAATAGTGGTAATGACAAACTCTGGGCAATCTCAACAGACACAATCACAGTGAGCAAGAAATCATATAGATATGTACATCTGAGTTATCTTTTCCTTCGCAGATCCCTCGTCACTAGTAGACTTCTTAGTATGCTAGCTGAAGAGCAGAATCCAGAGGTATAATAACCCCTCGTATTGGCGCAGTGGCACAGGCAAACCTCCAAGCTCGCAAGTCTGGCGTCAAAGGAGGCGAAGAAAATTGCAGAATTAGTCGTACTTCAGCCACCACATGCCTGGCTATATCTGCTTTAATTGACTAATGTCCCCATGGAGTGTCAGATGGCTCTATTCGATTATCTTATCAGTCGCTTCGGATCTGCAACATTCTGGGCCGAACAGAATCAGCACTCCAAATACGTATCTCATCCATGGACTCTTTAGCCGTTCAAATTCCCAGATTTAGTGATACGGTTGTCCCGAGACCCTGGGTTGGCAAACAACAATATCTTCAAACCATGGAACAAAATGTCCCAGGTATCGTCCGGACATGACGAATGGTTTCATCATCAATGTGAAGGCGCTGAACACAAGGCTATACTATACAGTAGTTCAACCGGCACAAGCACACAAACAACAGTCGCATATAAAATTTAGAATAATA